AATAAATTTCTTATTTTGTTTATTATTTATCACAATAAGATCACAGTCATTATTATTTTAAAGTCATTTTATAGAATTGGTCAAAAACCAATATTTGGAATATTCCCTATGAAAACTCGAGGGAAGATATAACTTGTAACAGTTGACTATTAAAAGAGGTTTGAGTAAGTTCTTGTAAAGAGTAAACACAAACAAGTAAATAAATATTTGTTTATTTATTTAGATATCTAATCTGGTAATCTAAGTCTAATCTAATAAGTAATCTGGTAAACGTTCCTGTATTTTTTTAAACTAAATATCGCAATGTCAAGTCAAGTCACCTTTGTTTATATAGCGCTTTTAACAATACAGATTGTGTCAGAGCAGCTTTACAGTATCAAATAGCAATGTCCGTTTTCTTCCAATATTATATAGCCGTACTATCCATAAAACAAGCAGGATTACTATTTTTAGATCATTTTCACTATTTTTACAGGCTTGCTTTGTTTTTCAGACCCTGCAAAGGTTGTTTGGTACAAGAATGCCCTGGAGTTGCCTGCCTAGCACACACTAACACATCTCCACAAACACACACACACACACTCGAAACACACACCCCGCACTCAGGTTCTCATCCCCTCAACGTTTCTGCCGAGACACTTTAGGACTTGTTCCCCTATGAAGATAGATGTCTTGGACTTCTCGGTTGCCTTACAACAGAGTCTGCCTCAGGCGCAGAGTCCCTCTGCATACCTCTGTCATTTTAATGGTGGGGAATCATCTTTTTTAAGGAAAAAAAGCTGCAATTTTATTTCAGTGAACTGCAGTTTTACAGTTAAAAATCCCTTTTATTCTTCCCTTGTTCCTACTTGTGTGCAAGTGGTTAAATCAAGCACTTTCTGACCTGTAGTTGAACACATCATCCCTTTCTCTAAAGACTGAACTCGTTTTTAGAACCAAATCCAGAATGTCTTCATCAGTCTTCACTCCGGTGATAATCCCTTTCTTGCCACACAAATTGTTCTCATGAAGTTTACAGAGGTGCCATTGGCACATTATGGCAGCACCTTCAAATGTCTATTGGTCTTAATGCTGTTTTTAATATATATTTCACCCAGATTGAATGTCGGTCATAAATCCTAATAGGACTCCGTTGCTGTGTATGACCAAATTTTTTTTTTTTTTTAGAAATATACAAATAATTTACACTGGAAGATGTTCAGAGATTTAATCGAACAGTGTTGCATAATAAAAATGAATAAACTTGTTAAAATATTTCATGGTCTTTTGGTTTTTGTATAAATCTATAGGAAAATAAAAATGTGGATATTTAGTATTTCAGTAATCAATCTATTATCCATTTTCCAAATCACTTTTTCTATGTAGAGTCACAGGGTGTTTCAGTAACACACATGAAAATCTGCTGTATTGAATAATCTTGCTGATTTACCACCAGTACTTAATTTTAGAGCTGCCATGTTGTCAATCAGTCTAATATTGAAAGGAATAATTTACCCAAAAATAAAAAAAAGTGCTGAAAATTCACTCACCTTCAGGCTATCCGGGGTGTAGATGAGTTTGTTTCTTAATCAGAACAGATTTGGAGAAATGTAGAATTACATCCCTTGGTCAGCAGTGGGTCCTCTGCAATGAATGGGTGCCGTCAGAATGAGAGTCCAAATAGCTCATAAAAACATCACAATAATCCACACCACTCCAGTCTATCAATTTACATCAGTCAGGATTTTTTTATCAGCTGTTTGGACTCTCATTCTGATGGCACCCATTCATTGTATAGGATCAACTGGTGAGCAAGTGATGTAATGCTAAATTTCTATAGATCTGTTCCCATGAAGAAACAAACTCCTCTACATCCTGGATGGCCGGAGAGTGAGTACATTGTTTTTAGGATATTTCTATTTTTGGATGAACTTCCTTTAGTGATGTATAATGTAATTGTGAGTTTAATACTGCTTTTATACAGCACTTCACATCATAAATAATCAATGATCAAATGATTTGAAGCTTTAAGTCAATAGGTCTTTTTTTATTCAGTGTTTTTACAAAAATATTAGACAATTCTCCTTTAACTGAGATATAAAACTACTTCTGTCCCCGATGTAAAAATGAATATTGCATGAGGATGAATAATGGGATCAATGAGTACAACTTAACTTTAGTGCAACTGAAATTCCTAAATAACCAGATCCAAACATCAGTCCAGCCATGTGACCTCCACTTCATCTGTTCTGTACCTAAAAACAAAATAGACAATTAATAAATGATCACGTCACAGCTGAACAAGAAAAAAAACTTATCTTGGGTCTATATTTAATCTCAGCATGCAATGGAAAATCATTGGGCTAATGATGAAAATAGCATGGTTATCTGTGACACAAAGTCACGTGCACAAAGCAAAACGTTTTATTAAAGGAAAAACAAATATTTATGAAGGTTTTGATGTGAGAGACAACAGGGAATAGACTTTTTCACTGGAGGAAGCGTTATTATGAATTATGGATCTTTTAAGTTGTAATGTCTTTATAATGGATGTGCTTATTTTCAAACACCGCTTTTCACTTCATAAGGCATTGATGGACTGGAGTCACGTGCATTACTTTATTGTGATGTTTTTATCAGCTGTTTGGACTCTCATTCTGACGGCAGAGGATCCATTCATGGGCAAGTGATGTAATGCTAAATTTCTCCAAATCTGTTCCAATGTTTCTGATGGCTATTTGTTAAGTTGCTTACCTTTGTGTAATCCAGGAGTCTGATAGCTCTGTGACGTGACCCGAGCGGAACATTTCCCATCCGGCCTGTGCGATCATTGCTCCATTGTCTATACAAAATCTACGATTTAACATGAAGAGATTAAAAACCACTGACACTGAATGTCGTGAGTTATTTCAGCAGTGACCAACGAAAAGCCGGCCATGTTTATTACCTCTCATCTGTGGCAAAAAGTTGAGCACCTCTCTCCTTACACATGACCCCCATCATCTCCTGCAGTCGCAGGTTACCTGCAAAAAAGCGCATGCTTAGATGCTGACAAAACTGCAATACAGAGACCCAGTCTTTTCTATGAGACGAATGTAAACAAATGAGCATAAAAACACTTACAGCCGACTCCACCGACGATCAGAACCTCCTGAGAGCCGCAGTGAGCCATGGCTCTTTCTGTGATCTCCACCAGCATAGCGAACAGAGTCTACTGTCAATCCCATTATTTTTAGTCACTTTTCATAATCATAAATTAATGTGTCTTATTGGAAGCATAGTGAGCACAGGTTCAAGTACATACTTGTAGGGAGAAACACAAATCCTCAGGCGTACATTGACCTGTACTCAACAGTTTGTGAGCGGCATCCTGCATGTGAACATAATTATTTAAATTTAAAGAAGTGTAAACAGAATTTAAAGACATCTCCCAGTCATTCATCTCACCTCTATATAGGACAAAATCCCAGAAAATGGCACATCCATACCCTTCACTGTATACGGCAGATCTATATACTTGGTGCCCCTGAAGAATGAATGTGCATATTAACATCTATCAAACAAATGCTTTTACACAAATTAGGTATGTTAAAGTACATGGAAACTCACTTCTTTGCCATCTGTTCAATGTTGTAACCAGGACTGGGATCATTTGATATCTGTGAATGCAGGTGAAAATTGTAATCTTAAATTTACATACATTTTAGACAAATCATAGGTATATTTTCCAATCCTCCACAGAAAAAATTCAGAAACATACCAAATAAACATAAGGCTCTATAAATTAGTGATGTTAGGTTCTTGAACGAATCGTTCTTTTGAGCCAGTTCTCAGGAAGTAACCGGTTGAGCCGGTTCACAAATCAAACTGAATCGAACTTTAGTTCCAGGTTGATGACGCAGGACACACAGCCGAAGTAGCATGTCCAACTCAAAAAGAACTGAATGAGCCGGTTCAACCAACTGTCGAAGTTTGCCGAGGATTACCGAAGATTCTGATGAGTGAGTTGACAATACTGTGCAAGCCTGAGGCGCGTACTGGAAATATGCTTGTTAATTATGACTGTTATTCATTTACATTTTATTAAAACCTGAAAAAACCTTTCTGTCGAGTGATGTAAATAAATTTTCAGGATCCGTGAATGAAACTGTGACCATAAACACCATTAACTTAAGTGAATTATATGACAATAATCAGCAATATGCTTTCACACAAATAACTTTATTTTTGAATGTTTCAGTATGCGTTGACACAAATGAAGCATGGTGGCAGTTTTTAAATAAAGATGACACAGTCCATTAGAGGTAACGATTGGTCTAATGATCTCACCTTGGCCAGGTGGGGTGATGTAAGTGCGCCTGGGGTTTGACAGAACTTCCCCATCTCTGATGATACCCACACCAATCTTATTAGCGCTGCCCTCAAATCCAATCACCACAGTCATGGTTTCTGCTGGGAGAATGAACACAAAATACTGGGACACTGTTACACAATGTCTACCATTTTTCCCTCAAAATCTATTTCTTTATGTCTTAATGTCAATACTGCAAAAGTGCGAGTGTGTTTTTAAAAGGTTTTTAAAATTTTCTACATTAAATTTTACAATTAAAGTTAAATCTGTTACGTTATGTCTGGCTGTCAGAGGTCTGCGACACATGCTGCTGGATAAAACTGATCATTAATAGATTAAATTGTTAAATTGTTGGGATTGTCATGTTTTGGGTTAATTATAATAACTTGTATACTAATAATTATATTTTTGTTTTATCTCTTATTTAACACTGCTTCTCCACTCTTACCGCACACTCGCCGGTTGTAGGACCATAACAACAGCTAACATGGCTCTTACTAAATGCCTGGATGAAATTGATGGGAATATTAGTGCTAACAATTTAATAAATGTATATAAATATATTTTAAAGCTAATATTTGTCAATAATTTGATATACAAATATATATATAAAAACGTTTTAGTCTTTAGTTTTAGTCAGGCAATAGCTCAGACACGTCTTGATGGGGAAACATGCGCCTCATGCACATTGCAGAAAGCTTCGGCTTCCGCTCCGTGCAGAGCAGTTCATAGTTCTGCACAGATCGAGGTTTCATTATAAACTCAACTAACGATTAAAGTGTTAGGTAAGAAAGAGCTTTTTGTATATAATGAAATGCAAATTTATATTTAAAGAGTTCTCAGCGCGGTCAATATAAATTTGTCTATTATAAACGCAGAGCGCGCGAGCCATTTGTTCTTATTGTTTCATTCATTCAGGCCGCACTTTTGGCCAACGTTCAAACGTGGCTAATGTATATCCATTCCTTATTGCAGCATACTGCAAGCTCATGCATTTTGGTTTATGCAGTTCACGCATTTTATGTAAGTGATTTAATCACTTGTGTGCGAGCTATATAAGTTTTACAGCCTTTGTTTTGAGAGGTTTGCAGTGACCGATGCATTGAACACATTCCATTGCGCATGTCCTTTCTTGTAGGTGTTCGTGTGTGTGCTGTCAGTTTCTTACGCGTGTGTGGTCTTAAAACAACTGTAAGCATGCCTAAAAGAGCCAAGAAGAACGAGGAAGCTGTCGAGGGGGAGACTGGCAATGGAGCTGGTACAGAGTTTTAATACTATATTTAAAAAAAAAAGTTTGCATCTTCACAAAGTGCATCAGATAACATGGAGTTTTCTATCACAGAACCTGCAAAGAAAGAGAAAAAGGGGAAGGAGCCAGAGGCCCCAATTCTGTATGAAGATCCTCCAGATAAGATGACCAGTAAGGATGGTCGTGCATCCAACATGAAGATCACCTCCTGGAATGTGGACGGTCTGCGCGCTTGGGTCAGAAAGAACGGCCTTGATGTGAGAATTCAACATACAAGACATTGATTGTGTTTTGCATGTACTGCATGGTCCTCTTTGTGAAGTCTAGCCAGTCTCTGTGTCTTTATTTAGTATTTTTGTGTGAGTCTATGTCAGATTGGTAGAGGTATGGACTCTTCAATTTCTTTGTTTTTTGTCTGTTTGCAGTGGGTGCGCAAGGAGGATCCAGATGTGCTGTGTCTGCAGGAGACTAAGTGCGCTGAGAAAGCCCTGCCATCTGAGATCACTGACATGCCTGAGTATCCACACAAGTACTGGGCTGGATCAGAGGATAAGGAGGGTTACAGCGGAGTCGCCATGCTCTGCAAGACTGAACCACTCAGTGTCACCTATGGTATTGGTAAGTGTCTTTTTTTTCCCATATTTGTAAGGATTTCAATATTGTATGACCCATGTGAATTGCATAATCTCCATCTATGCAACGGCTGTGTTTCACTTATAGTATGCATTTAAAAACACAATGCAAACAACCATGTTTCCAAATTTGTAATCAGAATTGTTTATAAATCTTTTGTCAGCAAAGTGGATTTAAGGTCTCCCTGCAGTTTGCAAACAAAATAAAAGCACTATGTTTGAACACAAAGAAATTAAGATGGCTATTTTAATTTGAGGTTTGTCCTACTATACTAAAATTACTATTATTAATAGAAGTAATAGTAGTATTTATATACTTGTTTTTATTTTACAGTACAATAGTTTTATTGCAAGGTCATATTTCTTTATTAAGTTTTATAATTTAAATATAATATTAATGTTGTTAGTAGTAGTAGTAAATACTTATATTTTACACTACAATAGTAGTATTGCAATAGTCATGTATTTCTTTGATTTCATTATGAAATCAATCTTTTAAATCTCATTCTGCCTCAATATAGGTAAAGAGGAACATGATAAAGAAGGTCGGGTTATCACTGCTGAGTTTCCATCTTTCTTCCTGGTTACGGCGTATGTGCCTAATGCCAGTCGTGGTTTGGTGCGACTCGACTACCGTAAGACCTGGGATGTGGATTTCCGGGCCTACCTGAGTGGCTTGGACCAGCGCAAGCTCCTGGTGCTGTGTGGAGATCTGAATGTGGCCCACCAAGAGATTGATCTCAAAAACCCCAAGGGTAACCGCAAGAACGCAGGCTTCACCCCTGAGGAACGGGAGGGCTTCACCAAACTTCTGGAGGCTGGTTTTACTGACAGTTTTCGGGAGCTGTATCCGGAACAAGCCAATGCCTACACCTTCTGGACCTACATGATGAATGCTCGAGCCAAAAACGTCGGCTGGCGTTTGGACTACTTTTTGCTGTCGTCCGCCTTGCTCCCAGGTCTGTGTGACAGCAAGATCCGAAACACAGCCATGGGAAGTGACCACTGCCCTATTACCTTGTATTTGGCAGTGTAGATCAGGTTTCTCAGGGCCTCAAGCTTTTCAGTTTCATATACATCTGCATAGACACATAAGGATCTAGTCCTGTTAGTCCTAGAATAGTATTTCCTTTCTAAAACCAAATACAGGCCCACATGTAGGAATATGTGTGGTGCAGACACCCATTGAAAGGACTCGTGGATAAATTGTTTTGCAATTTTGGATCATTCTGCTGTTATTGGTCGCCTGAAATCAGATTTTGACACTAAAATATCACTAAAAATCATAATTTCAAGCTCTTATCCCACTTTATATTTGCAATGTTTAAAAAAAAAACTCAGACTGTCTAAATGACAAACACTGCCAAACTTATCAGTGTTGATTATATCAAAATGTTTTGAAGCTTGTAAAATACCTTGACCTGCAAGGATATATGATGTGTCTGATTTGTATGAAGTTAAAGATCTTTGGATTTTGTCTTTGGTGCTATTTTAACCTCTGGATTGTACATTACTCTCGACTTGGTGAAGTTAGTGGTGGTTAAATGTTACATATGCCACTTAGTTTCAAAAGACCAATGATTTTGCTTATGTGCTGTTTTTTTCCCCCCCAGAGTGTGTGTCTGTAGCCATTTTTCAGATTTTGAAATAAAGTAGTTTATAAAAAAAGAATTAGTCTCTGGTCTTATTTTCATTTTAAAGTTACACCATATAACTCTAAGTAACAAACATGTTTTAAGTATTATACTTTTCTTCTGTTGTTACTGTACAAATGAAAAAGAGGCTGATTACAATGTATTTATGCATATATTAAACAGTCATGAGTCTATATATTAAAAAGGTGAAAATAGTTTCGTTTGTAACAACACCTAGGCCTACAAAGTACAACAAATTTGATACCGTAGTCCAAACTGCTCATAAGAAGTGCGAAAATGGCGAAGACTCCTGAACGTCAATTACGTAACGTTCGCCAATGGCAGCCGGCGGTATGGTGGCTTATGAATATTAATAAGGACACGTGATCGAAACTCCCGCTAGGTCACCAAAGCAACGTTGGCTTGACTAAATTAAATATTCATGAGCTAAATCCACGGCCACATCCTTCATAATAAAAGTCGCCTCAATTTGACCAATTTATAAAATATGAACATAAATCCATAATGTTTCTGGACCCCATGCCCCAGACCAGTCTAGATTAAACCACATTAACAGTAAGACGCAAACAAAACAACAGCGAAAGGAAAGAATGGTTTGGGAGCTGGGTTTGTGAGATGGTCTCGCAAAACTAGTATAATGTGGTTTTGCACCACCAGAGGGAGAACTCGGATTACACTGTAGACCAGACTAAAGCGGATTAGACCGGAATCTGTGTCGTTCAGTCCAGTGTTTTGAAACGAACGAAATGGTCAGTTGGAAAGCGCATCGAAATTAAAAAGTATCCCGTCTGATAGCGGCTTTAATCTGAATTATGATACACAGCTGTTGAAAGTATTAATTTCGAGATTGTTTAAACTTGATTGAAGTTGTAAACAATGGAAGCGCTTTGGACCAAGAAAATCGAAGGTGAGTAATTTTTATCCTGTTTGTTTTTCCATTTTCCTAAAATGCAACACAACAAATCAGCATGTTAAAGTGAAAGCAATGTAATGAATTCAGTCATTTTCATTATCACGCAACTTCCTTTTAGATGAAAGCATAGGGTTTTAAATGCATTTTGATTCATTTAATTTCTAAGGATTTTCAAAACACAAAACAAGATATCCTAATTTAAATGCCTAATATAAAGTCAAAGCTGATTAATAACATGCATGCATATGCTGCCTCTCATTGCATTTGTTTCCTATTTGTCTTGTTTTTATATCAGACCCTCTTTTACCTGAGTGGCTTGGACCAGCGCAAGCTCCTGGTGCTGTGTGGAGATCTGAATGTGGCCCACCAAGAGATTGATCTCAAAAACCCCAAGGGTAACCGCAAGAACGCAGGCTTCACCCCTGAGGAACGGGAGGGCTTCACCAAACTTCTGGAGGCTGGTTTTACTGACAGTTTTCGGGAGCTGTATCCGGAACAAGCCAATGCCTACACCTTCTGGACCTACATGATGAATGCTCGAGCCAAAAACGTCGGCTGGCGTTTGGACTACTTTTTGCTGTCGTCCGCCTTGCTCCCAGGTCTGTGTGACAGCAAGATCCGAAACACAGCCATGGGAAGTGACCACTGCCCTATTACCTTGTATTTGGCAGTGTAGATCAGGTTTCTCAGGGCCTCAAGCTTTTCAGTTTCATATACATCTGCATAGACACATAAGGATCTAGTCCTGTTAGTCCTAGAATAGTATTTCCTTTCTAAAACCAAATACAGGCCCACATGTAGGAATATGTGTGGTGCAGACACCCATTGAAAGGACTCGTGGATAAATTGTTTTGCAATTTTGGATCATTCTGCTGTTATTGGTCGCCTGAAATCAGATTTTGACACTAAAATATCACTAAAAATCATAATTTCAAGCTCTTATCCCACTTTATATTTGCAATGTTTAAAAAAAAAACTCAGACTGTCTAAATGACAAACACTGCCAAACTTATCAGTGTTGATTATATCAAAATGTTTTGAAGCTTGTAAAATACCTTGACCTGCAAGGATATATGATGTGTCTGATTTGTATGAAGTTAAAGATCTTTGGATTTTGTCTTTGGTGCTATTTTAACCTCTGGATTGTACATTACTCTCGACTTGGTGAAGTTAGTGGTGGTTAAATGTTACATATGCCACTTAGTTTCAAAAGACCAATGATTTTGCTTATGTGCTGTTTTTTTCCCCCCCAGAGTGTGTGTCTGTAGCCATTTTTCAGATTTTGAAATAAAGTAGTTTATAAAAAAAGAATTAGTCTCTGGTCTTATTTTCATTTTAAAGTTACACCATATAACTCTAAGTAACAAACATGTTTTAAGTATTATACTTTTCTTCTGTTGTTACTGTACAAATGAAAAAGAAGCTGATTACAATGTATTTATGCATATATTAAACAGTCATGAGTCTATATATTAAAAAGGTGAAAATAGTTTCGTTTGTAACAACACCTAGGCCTACAAAGTACAACAAATTTGATACCGTAGTCCAAACTGCTCATAAGAAGTGCGAAAATGGCGAAGACTCCTGAACGTCAATTACGTAACGTTCGCCAATGGCAGCCGGCGGTATGGTGGCTTATGAATATTAATAAGGACACGTGATCGAAACTCCCGCTAGGTCACCAAAGCAACGTTGGCTTGACTAAATTAAATATTCATGAGCTAAATCCACGGCCACATCCTTCATAATAAAAGTCGCCTCAATTTGACCAATTTATAAAATATGAACATAAATCCATAATGTTTCTGGACCCCATGCCCCAGACCAGTCTAGATTAAACCACATTAACAGTAAGACGCAAACAAAACAACAGCGAAAGGAAAGAATGGTTTGGGAGCTGGGTTTGTGAGATGGTCTCGCAAAACTAGTATAATGTGGTTTTGCACCACCAGAGGGAGAACTCGGATTACACTGTAGACCAGACTAAAGCGGATTAGACCGGAATCTGTGTCGTTCAGTCCAGTGTTTTGAAACGAACGAAATGGTCAGTTGGAAAGCGCATCGAAATTAAAAAGTATCCCGTCTGATAGCGGCTTTAATCTGAATTATGATACACAGCTGTTGAAAGTATTAATTTCGAGATTGTTTAAACTTGATTGAAGTTGTAAACAATGGAAGCGCTTTGGACCAAGAAAATCGAAGGTGAGTAATTTTTATCCTGTTTGTTTTTCCATTTTCCTAAAATGCAACACAACAAATCAGCATGTTAAAGTGAAAGCAATGTAATGAATTCAGTCATTTTCATTATCACGCAACTTCCTTTTAGATGAAAGCATAGGGTTTTAAATGCATTTTGATTCATTTAATTTCTAAGGATTTTCAAAACACAAAACAAGATATCCTAATTTAAATGCCTAATATAAAGTCAAAGCTGATTAATAACATGCATGCATATGCTGCCTCTCATTGCATTTGTTTCCTATTTGTCTTGTTTTTATATCAGACCCTCTTTCATTGATGAGTTTCATCATTCCACCTTTGAGGTTACTGTGTGCAGCCATGTGGCAGGTGACTGAACAGAGACAGGTGAAGCACTATGAGATGCTGGAGGAGTTTGTAACCATGGTGACAGAGAGTGTGCCAGAGCTTCTGAATTACAATCAAAGAACCCAGCTGATACTTGGATTAAGAGCAAGGGTAACAAACCACCATGAAAAAGTTTGGGCTTTCAAGGAGAGCATTGGTTACAGTACTGTATCTCTTATTTTTCACAGCGTCTTCTAGAGTTGTGTCGTGGTAAACGTCAGGTCAACCTGGAAGACATTCAGCCTTACCTGGATCGAATCTATGCTCCTCGTGTCAAATCATGCTTAGAACCCCATTTGGAGGTTGTTGAAACATCACGCTTGCACTTAAATTAAAATTTATAGATGTTTTTAATAGACTTTATACATTACAGGTGGTTCATGAAGACATGGAGGAATCTGAGGCCTGTTTCTTAGACCTCATTCGGACCCTTATTAGCAACCCTGAAGAGAGAGAGCATTTCTTTCAGGTTACAAACACATAAACATGCTCACAACACTTGGCTTTCTGTTTTTGTTTCTTTGCCATGAAATGAATTGCCCCCCCCCCCCAAACCTGTGTAATTAACAGAACATTTTCCCAGAGGAATATGGCCCCAAGTTTGACAAAAACTTAAAGACACTTATGGAAGCCTTCCTCTTGCAGTTTGAACGGATGATGTCAGTCCCAGACCTTTCACAGGTACATCAATAAACATAAAATGTAAAAAGAACTGAACACGGTTACTGTATTATTTCTGTTACAGTTGGTCTGGTTTTGTTCCTCAGACAGTCTCTTGGCTCAGGACCTGCCCGTCTCTTCTGGAGGAATGTCTTCATTCAGTTTTTGTCCCAAAGCAGATGAAGACCCTGCTTGAACATCACAGAGCTAATGGAAGTCTTCAGGACAATGGTATAAGTTTTTACATTAAATTATGCCATATACACGTGAAAGGATATATCAGATGCTTCTATGTTGTGTAAATACAAGATGCAGTTTTGACTCTCTCGTTTAGTTGCATCTGTGTTTGTGAAGGTGTGAGCCAGATGGCTTATGCAATCAGAATGACAAAAGAACAGCTTCACAAACGAAACCCGAATTACAAAGGGATAGTTTCACTAAGGATAACCATTTGGGAAGTCTGAAAGCAATAGTTCACCCAAAAATGAAAATTTGCTTAAAATGTGCTCACTCTCAGGCCATTCAGGATAAAGATGAGTTTGTTTCTTCATTGGAACAGATTTGGAGAAATGTAACATCTCTGCAGTAAATGGGTGCCATCAGATTGAGTGTTCAAACAGCTGATAAAAACATCACAATAACCTACTAGTAATCAAAGCAATTAATGTCTTGTGAAGTGAAAATCTACATGCTTATAAGTAACAAATCCATTATTATGCTGATTTCAACTTTAAACTGTTGCATCTGGCCAAAATACCAGACTGTAATCTGTAATAACACTTTCTAGCTGTCATCATATAACCACTTAACCACACCTTAACTACTCTTCAGCAAAATGGTAATCACAAAAACTTTAAATATACAACATGTGAACATTACAAAATGCAAATAATATGGCAAAAATTAACACGTAATTAACATTTTCTTAATTAAACTAGCAGCAAATAACATTGTGCTACACAAAACACCTTCACTTAATTACTTTCTCCACAAGCACCCGACAAGTGTTTGTAAGGATGATCTTTTATTTGTCTTTTTGTCTTTCTCTGTTGTAGAGTCTCTTCACTCTGCTCATAACAGCTGTACATTTTCATCTCAGTCTCTCCCTCCGCTGGTTCGAGTCGTCATTTCCAGCGATCACACAGAATCCGGCGACCCGTCTGAATCAGGGGCCGATGTAGATGGTCAAGACAAAGATGATTGCCACACTTCTAAAACCTTGTCTGATCCTGATACGTCCTGCTGGGTGGCTAAAAAGAGAAAATTCAAAGTAGAGACAGAGGAGAGAGAGGATGAAGAGGAGGAGGATGATCAGAATTGGCCAATCACAGGTGCCGGATATAGAGAAAAGAAGAACATTGACAGCTTTCTTGGTGAAGAGCTGAATCAGACACAAACCAAAAAACACTCTAAAAAGTCCTCTAAAAAGAAAAGAGACGACAGCTCAGACGTGTCCAGAGAGTTCACATTTATCAATCATTTGGGTGCATACACAGGTCAGTTCTTCGAAATGATTCGAAATATTTATTTTGGTGAATTACTTTAATATAAGCAACCAAGCAGATTTAAACTCTTTTCTGCTTTATTTACTCAGAAGAGTCTTCCTACCAGACCTCTGACGCTTCAAAAGTCCCTTGGTCAGAGGAAGAAACATTCAGCCTCATTGACATATGGGGGAAAGACAGCGTCCAACGGAGTCTAAAAGACTGCGCCCGCAATCGACACATATTCAACCTCATCTCGAAGAAGATGTTCGAGAGAGGCTTTACCAGAACTGCAGAGCAGTGTCACACCAGGATTAAACGCTTGAAAATGAGCTTTCGACAGTGCCATGAAAACATGTGAGTTCATTTATAAATGCATTTGCAGTCAACATGAAATAGACTTTCATAATGAATATTTTTGGTTTTATCGTTATTACTGTGAAAGTCATTTAATGTTGACTTTAAAGAAAAACTTTTAGGGCCAAATAACTTTCTGTATAGTTAAAAAAGGATCCATCTTTTTACACAAGACATTAACATGACATTTACTAAGTTTAAAAGGTAAATTAGTAAGATTTTTTTTTTAAAGAAATTAAAAATTGTATTCAGCAACGATGCCTTAAATGGTCAAAAACGACAGTTAGGACTAAAAAAATAACGTTACATTTTAAAAATAAAATGCTGTTCTTTTGAACTTTCTATTCTTAAAAAAATATTTTAAAAATTTATCAGTTTCCACTAAAAATATTAAGCAGCACAACTATTTTCAACACTGATAATAAGAAATGTTTCTTGAGGAGCAAATCAGCATATTAGACTGATTTCTGAAGGATCATGTGACACTGAAGACTGGAGTAATGATGCTGAAAATTCAGCTTTGCATCACAGGCATTTTTTAAAATAAATTAAAATAGAAATTGTTTCATAATATTACTTTTTTAACTATATTTTCATATAGTTAAACATTTGAACAGAAGGGTATATGAATCTTTGAAACGTGAAACTGATTGTTTTTTATTTTTTTTGATAAAACTTTTTTTCTTCCTATGATTGCAAGTGAAATGAACGTGTGTTTTTTGGCAGTATGAAAGGAGAGAAACTGGAATGGAAGTTCTATAATGTGCTGGAGAAAATTCTGTGCCGTAAAGAATCTACAGACCAGGAAGACACTGTTACTGATGTCAGCATTCCAGAAGAGTCCTCAGGACAGCAGGCAGAAGATGACACTGATTGGGATGTTCTTGGTCATGTCGGACTAGAGGGTACTTAGAATTTTTGGACATATGCTATGAACTATTTAAGTTCTAATTCTATCTAATTAACTATTTTAATATGTTGTTAACCAAATTTTCATTTACACCCTCTCAAGACACCAGGAATATCCCATGGACAGACCAGGAAACGCAAACCCTCATCAGGATCTGGGGAGAGGACAAAACCCAGCGAGAGTTGAGAGGGGTTCTCCAGAATGGACACATCTTTGCCATGATCTCAAAAAAGATGGCTGCTCACGGCTACATCCGAACAGCAGAGCAGTGTCAGAGTCGAG